CAATACTTTCACGGGCCGTACGTGGTACCCAAGGATGCGTGAAGGGTGAATCCAAATTTGCGGGGGTCGCACGTTAATAGGGGGCATCACCCTAAAATTTGAGATTTCCAACTTTCGTGGCTCCCGAGATAATAATTTTTCCTGTCGAAACTTTCACTGGACCGTAAACTTTCATTGGACCGTTAAACTTTCACTGACGGTGGGGAATGCTGAATTTGAATCTGCAAGATTGTACGTGAGAGAGAAGTCATAACTCTAAAATTTCAGCTTCCTAGATTTCGTGCTTCCTGAGATAATAATTCCCCCACCAAATTTTTTTTGGGGCCATACGTCTTACCCGTGGGCAAGGGAAGGCTGAATTTAAATTTCCTGAGTCGAGCGTGGGCAGGGGGCATGCTCACAAAATTTTAGCCTTCTAGCCTCCGTGGTTCCTGTGATAATAATTTCACTCGCGAAAACTTCTACGGGACCGTACTTGTTACCCGCGGGTACAGGAAGGCTGAATTTAAACTCGCGGAATCGCACGTGAGCGGCAGACATTCCCCCAAATTTCCAGCTTCCTAACTTTTGTAGTTCCCGAGTTGAAAGTTGCCGATAAGTTGCTGCGGGCACACACAGACAAGCCCGTGACAATATGCTCTTTGTACTGCTGTTACACAGCACAAAACGCATAAAAACGTATTGTGACGGGACTGTGAATCTATGTGTGTGTCTCGCTGCACAGATGATTCAACTCCAGAACTCTAAATAGGTCCAAAAGTACGGATGAGACGCACTTCTGCGCCACACATCAGACAGCCGTGCGAAATCAACTTTCCTGTCTGAGTCTACACAAAGCGACAGGTGCAATTTTGCCACTCGCTTCCGTGCCTACGGAATAGTAGCTGCAGCATGCAGCATCAAATTCCATACCTTTAGCTACAACCACGTCTGACAGGGATCCGGCTGAATGTGTAGGTGTGTACTCCTCGGTCAAATACTGGGTTGCAGACTTGCAGTTAACTTGCATTACTGTGTATCGACAAATGTACCTGTAATTCTGAGTCAAAAAAAAAAAAAAAATTACAAGCTAAAATCCTTCCTTAAGCTAAAACAGTACATATTTCTAGCCACATAACCTAAGACTAATTCCAAAGCTTTGTTGTGTTCTGGCTCATTCAGATCCAATTTGAGGCAAAGCTAGAAAAATAAAATTTGAAACTTTAGCTGATCGCATAAACCAGTTAGGAACAATCTGAGACTGGCTTTCAAATCTCACCTTCTTTTCCAATTTTGTAAACGCCTTCCCAAATTGAGCTGATTTCGAAATTTCAAAATGAAAGAATAAATTTTGCTATTTTTCATGCGCTAAATCAGCTAAAAGATTGCCTTGATGAGCTCCTACTTGCACTGGATTACTTAGCACCCGCTAATTATGGTAAAAGTGCATAATAGCGCTGGTTCCCCAATGTGCACTTCTTTTTATGCGTTTTTGCACATACGCAAATTGCAAAAACGCATATTGGGAAGAGGCTGTGTGTGTGCGTGTTTGTGTCTGTGTCTGTGTGTTCGCACTTTTTCCGGAAAAGCTAGAAGGCTGAAACTTTGGGACTATGTGCACATACTATGCGCGACCCTCCTCTTTTAATTTCATCCCTCTCGGACGCCTGCGTGCCGCTTTAAAAAAGTATGCAAATTTTTTGGCGGGAAAGCGATCTCCGGAACGACATAAGACAAGAGGCTGAAACTTTGTAGGAATATTCCCTGTGCATGTACTAGTTAAAGATTTCAAATTCCAAGCTATGCGTAGTACTCACGTAAGAGCGTATGAAAATTTCTGCAGGGAAATTACTGACTCGACAGCCAGAAGAGCTGGAAGGCTGAAATTTTAAGGGGATACTACCTGTACAAGTGCAATTTAAAAATTTCGAATTCAGCTTTCCAGACACGTGGAGTACCCACGTACGGGTATGTGTATGTTTTAGCGGAAAAATTGCTAGCTCGGCAACCAAAAAAGCTGGAAAGCTGAAATCTTGAGAGAATGTTCCCTATCCAAATACAACATAAGTATTTTAAATTCAGCCTTGAGGTATATGTGGTTCTTACGTACTGGCACTTAAAAGTCTTGGCGGAAAAATTTCTCACTGAACAACTAGGTTACTTTTAAAGAACGACTGTTAGATGGAAATTTACATTTACGTTGCGAAATTTATGGTCATTTATGCTATTGGCCGCAAAATGTAGGCGTAAAGCAACAGCCATTCATATAGTTAATGACCTGATTACTTCATGTCCGGTGCGAAAACGCATAATCGCACAGGCCTGCCCGGCTCGTTCCAGCCTGGGTGTTGTATTGGCCTGTTGAATGCGTACAGTGGTTGCATTTATCAGTGTATTTTTTGCACCGTATCGGTGGGATGATGTGTCCGACAGTTGTGATTCACTGACAATTCAAATTCGACTGCGCGTTGAATTTGTAATAGCAACCTGAACTAGATGTGAAATTTAAATCAGCGAGGATTGTTTTCAGTTAAATTATTCCACAGCAAATGCTTAGCTAGAATTCAGCGATTCGTATTTGTTAGATTCTGCCTTAGTATTAAATCGGAACTTTTTCAGCTCATGGGTCACAACAAGAAATGACTTAAAAATTGGTCTTCGTTGTTTGGTCCCGTATACGATTGATTCAGTGTTCCCAGTTCAGCTTCTTAGTTTACTTGCTCTAAATGTTCAATCACACATACAGACATTTTGCTACAGACATTTTATGCGTTTTTGCATATTTATACAAAGGTAACGCAGGCTGGAATGCACCGGGCGGGCCTGTGCGATCATGCTTTTTTGCAACGGACTTGAAGTAATCAGCTCATTAACTATATGAGTGGCTGTTGCTTTACACCTACTTTTTACAGCCAATAGCACAAATCACCATAAATTTTGCAAAATAAATGTACAGTTTCCACTTAACAGCCTTTCTTTAAAAGTAACCTAGTTGTTCAGTGAGAAATTTTTTCGCCTAGAC